GACAATTGGTTAGATTGGTGGCCGGACTCGTGTGACTACTTATAGGTTGCGCTTACGATGCCATACAATGAGCGGCAGTTATCAACCAATATGTGTTGACGATAGCGCCGCCGCACCGGAAAGACTGTTGCGGATCAGTGTTGTCGTGAATGCTGACCGCGAATGGGAACTCTCCCTCGTCGGCCCTCTCGCCGGCGACAATACGAGTGGACGCTTCACTCCCGTTAATGTAACCACAGTTGGGCTCATTCATGGCCGAGTAGTTGCCGATCGTCATGTGACCGAACTTCATGTTCGGATACCTGTCCAACGGTGAGCTGAACCCACTGACCACTGATGGCATCGGTAATAACAAGCGATACACACCTACGGTGAGAGGGGGTAGGGAGGGGTTGGGAGGGGATTGTGGATTAGTTTTGAGGTGTTTCAAGTGTTTAAGAGATATTACCGATGAATACAAACAATAGTCTTTGAGATATCATTGGATTTGTGGTCAAAAATTAATGGCAGATTTAAATCAGTTGTTATTTTTTAGTCAATTTGTCTGTCAGTTGTCATACAATTGAATTGAAATGCAATTCAAATAAATAGTTAATTTTTTGCTGTTTTTAATCTCGCGCTTAATTATTATTATGCTGATTTAATTTATATTATTTGCAAATTTTACCAAGTTTTGCGTAAGAATTCAGTGACTATCCCAACCGTAGGTTAGGTTAGGTTAGGTTTGGTGGCTTACTCTTCATATTATCACCAATAGTTGGTCCATAAAAAAAGTTAAATCAGTTTTTAAGATAAAATAATATAAAATATTGGATGAAAAAGTTGAGATAACAATAAATTAGAAACTTTATCATATATTGATTTAATTATTTAAATTACAAAGTTTTATATTATAAATTACATGAATAATTTGTATACTTTGTAATACAAAACATCTAGTCTGAAAATTTAGACTAAACAATAATAAACATTTGTTACAAAACTAAGACCACACACAAACTAACCAATATGTTGGCCAGTATAATATAAAACTACAGCACTAAACTACAATAAATTATTTTTCATTTTGATAGAGTTAAATAATTTTGCCAAAGCAATCATAAACACCATGATCTTATCATTAACTATTTTCATGCAAATTGCGTTTGCATTCAATATAATACTATTAGTCTTTGACACTGTTTATTTGATATCATTTGTCAGTAAGTTTAGGGGCCTGTCGGGCGCCATCACTAACCACAATAATCGTTTAAAGACCAATCAATTGCTTATATTAAACATGATTATCGCCGACTGCGCCGAACGAGTGGTGCAATTCATACGGGTCGCGGTGCTCAGCTCACTGGGACTCACTCAATACCCATTAGTGCTGGTGATCGGCCAATCGGTGAACAACTATCTGGACGCCACGCGTATGTACATTGAATCGATGACCATGATACTATTAGCGTACGATAAATACCATGTGTACGCCAACGCTAACAAATTGCGAATAGGCAGTTGGCTGAGGCATATGTCGACACCACGATTATTAGCTAAGGTATGGGCCGTGAGTCTCACTTTGGCCACACCATTCTTGGCCACGGGTTATGTGTTTTATTACGATTACGGCCGACAATCCAACATATGTAATGTGACTGACAATTGGCTTAACAATTGGCTGACCGACACTGGGCTAAGACAACACACCCGTGTGTTCCGGGTATTGGCCGAGTTTGCAGTGACCGCACTATTGGTGGCGTATTTCATCGGGGCCACAGTCTGGCTATATTGGCGCTATAAGCGGGAACAGTCGGTCATAGAAAACAACACACAAGCCGTCAATAGCCTCGTGGTCAATTTCCAGTCAACCAAATACCAGTTCATTATGTTAGGCCTGTTTGTGGCCAAAAAGTTTGTGTTTCATTTAAGCACCGGTTTCTCCACTCACACCTCAGCCAATACATGCGATTACTTCAATGATAATCGTAACCTGTATTTTATATTACTAATTATCTCCCTATCCATACAAACGCTCACTAATCTAGCGTTGAGTTACGTTAATACCGAGGATATCCGGGTTCGCGGGGCTCGAGACAGGGCTGCCGGTGCTCTTATGATTGAAATGATTGACATTTGTGAATCGCACCAAGCTGAGCTTGAATCGTAACACCATTTGTACCAATAATTATATTACTAAATGTTAATAATCTTATAAAATTTTTATGTCCATTATTAAATATTTTTAATGTTAACTAACTTTTAAACAAAATATGATTGTATTGAATGAAAAAGTTATTATTTGCATAAATATACATTAAATTATAATTTAAATTACAATTAAACCAATTTCTATATCACATATCTACATAAATATAATCAGTATTAGAGTAACGACCAAAACCATTGCGGTTGAAAAGGGAAGGGCGGGGGCGACTGCGGCGCCGGTGATTATATGCGGATTAAGCTGTGATGTGGTATTTGTAATATTAGTTGTAGTCATATCGGGTACAGAAGTAGTTGTGTTTGTGGGCGATATCTGTTTCTCAATCCAATCCATAATCATTGACACGCGGGTGAAGTACATGACACCGGGTCCGCAATTGTGGGATGTGTTCACTCTTTGGGTCCACGTAAGCACACCTATGATTACCGCTCGCTGGCCATCAAACTGGACCAGCGGTGAACCAGAGTCACCCTTAAGAAGCAAAGAGTGAGACTTATATTTTTGATACGGAGAGAGAGAGAGAGAGAG